CATGGTAATGGCGTTGCTCTGCAACAGTCTCTGTGCGAATAGGTGATGCGAGATATCGGGATGGGGACTCATGACATATATCAGGATTTGAAATATTGTCTGATATATCAGATGCCGAAGCATTAGCGTGAGCTAACCTCCGGCTACTGGGTTCAGATGCGATAGCAACCTCACTCCGTGAGTCAGAATTTTCCATTTTGTTGGAGGTGCTATTAGATACAGAGTATCCTGCTTTGCAGACTGAAGATTGATCAATTACCTTGGTATATCACCCAATTTAGTGATAGAGTTGCCAGATTGCGATTGCTTCTGTTCCAATTTCGCAACCCTAGCTTTAAGTTCGGCGTTTTCAGAATCGGTATCTTTATTGTTCTGCTCCAGTTTTATAAATCTGGATTCATGTTCTTCCAAAGCTTGTTCTAATTTTACGTTCTCAGCTTTAAGTTCGTTGTTCTCGGCCTCAACTTCGGAAAATTTTTTTCTAAGTTCGGGAATTTCGGCATTCTCCTTTCTAAGATTAGTAATCTCGGCTAAGAGCTTCGAATTTAGTTCTTTCAAAGAATCAATCTTAGATTGTGTGTTTGTCATTATTTTTTACAAATTATGCATATATTCAAAATAAAAAAATCACGTGTTTTTCCTCACGGCCCGTAAACAAATTTACCAAGAAAATTTTTATTAGTCGAAGGCTTGTCACGCAAATATATGTAAAAATAAATACAAAGGTTCGGGACTTAGTCCGGAATACATATTGCTGGAAGCAACTCAGTAGCTATTTCTTAGTAATTTTCTTGATCCTTGCCCTCTTACTGGCTGGGGAATTATCAACCGCTACCCGATCATTTAACAACCCAACGATTATCTCAATTATCCTTTTTACATTGCTTCGTAGTGTATCGAGATTTTCTTTGATTGTCGTCTTCGAGAGATTGATTTGATATTCACTATTACTTGTAGCATATATTCCTTCGGGTGTATATATGATGAAATGCCATTCTATGGCTAAAAATAAATTCACATTAGCGTTAGAAAAATCAGGAAAATCACGAGCGCGTTCTTTTTCGGAACGCCGATCACTTTGGTAAGAAAAATTATATACCTGTTGACACAATTCCATATAGATAATCAAAATAATCGTCTTGATCCGCCGTTCTTTTTTTCTTGTTAGTTTGGTATGCGCTCTTGAGCTCTGGCAAATTCTGAGCATAACCGATCCTGATATTGCGTGGTTTAGCCTCAGTGACGCAAAGAAGATCCTCAACACTTTTGATCGCATAGTCGACTCGACCTGTGGATTCTTCACCAGATATATCCTTCTGCAGAGCGATAAAAATGTCTTAGGTGGTATCTTTTTTGGCAATGGCGATTGATGCGTGTAATATTGCTGAAATAAACTCGCACCGTGTCGCTTCATTAGCATCGGTCATCGTCTCAATATTCGATAATTTCAGAATTATATCGTCTATGCAGTGATTGAATGCCTTATCGTTATCGTCTATTTTCTCGACCACTATAAATAAAAGTACGCAGTCGTAGCATGAGCAAGCATATTCGTACTAATATGTATATATGATGTGAATTCACTTACCAGGAACGAACTGTTTTATATTTGTTATATCCTCCCCATCTTACGTAGCATTTCTTTCAAGTCATCCAAAGTTTTATACGTTGAATAACTTCTTAATTTTTTCCGAGATCTTCGACAAACTTTGCAAGTCTCTTTGCTGGCCCCAATTTAAAGCCAATACTGCGAAATTCTTCTTTTGTTAACTCGAGAAAGTCGGATCCAGCTATTTTTTCTTTGCGGAAGATTGCGAAGCCATCGTCATCGAGCTTTAGGTTTCGTCTCTGTAAATAATCGATAAGCTCCTCTGTGTCTAGATCTTTCACCACGTCTGCCATTGTTCGAGTTGACCTTTCTTCCGTCAAAGTAGAGGATGTAGAGATTGGTGAGGAGGGTGTTGATTTGTGAGAAGTCATTGTTTTTTATAATGGTGTAAGGCGTAATGAATCTGGTTTATGCGATGCGTCTATGTGCGTTTATGTATCTGGACTAGTAAAGATGGATAATGCAGGAAAGAAAGTGAAAATTTTTTTCGCAAGTAGATCAGTCTTTTTATGTATATAGATTACGCAACTTATATAATTGGTATACATTTGACGATCTCGGAGATTGCGGAGATTTCGACTTCCCAAGACATAAGTCCCTTTATATATGCACTAATGGAGATTGTTGAGCTGACCTTCTTATTACCCTTTCGAGTCTCGTTTATGCTTATTTTTATCGTGGAGCATGATTTAATAGAGAAATATTTTTTTACCTAAATACGATAATCTATGTTGTACTAACTTCTACGTGGATCCCTGATTTACGGATTTAATTCACACGTGATATAATTCTTGTCGCTTATTTTTTTCCCGAGGCTGTCATCTATTTCCTGATAAGAAAAACATGTAATGAATTTAAAAGGGCCATAAGAGGAATGGTCTTATCAATTCTCATTAGTAGCTTTATCAAGGTTCATATGGCACAATGACTTGGAATTTCCCAGATCATCGCGATCATAACCTTGTAGAAGAGATCGTCAAATTAAGGGGTATTTTACCGGATACGAATACAGGCAAAACCTGACTCACATTAAGTGGTTAACCGAAAAAATGTCGAAAATATATTTGGTTTTGGAATAGATTTAATGGTCCTGGACGGTATAAAATACTTCATTTTTTCCTCTTGTAAGG